ATACTCACAGGTCTTCTATTTTGAATGAACATGTGAGACAAAGACTGTTTTATTTAAGTATTTGCTCTCTTGTCATTTAGTGATGAGGCTGAATAAATGTATTCCATGAAACAATTCTTTTTAAATAAATGAGCTAATGAGTCAATAACTGCATGGCTACTTGGAGCCTAGAATGTTCCTTTTAAATTTTTTAAATTATGTTTTCTTTTGTGAAAAACAGATTTTTTTTTCATACAATATATCTTATAATGATTTCACCTCCCTCCACTCCTCCCAGTTCTGCCTTATCTCCCTTCCTGCCAGGATCCACCCCCTTTTCTGTCCATCTTTGAAAACAAACAGGCATCTCAAGGATAATAATAAAATAAAATCAATCATACCACAAGGGCACATGCTCAGCTATGTTCATAGTAGCATTGTTTGTAATAGCCAGAACCTGGAAACAACCTAGATGCCCTTCAACTGAAGAATGGATAAATAAAATGTCATACATATACACAATGGAATACTACTCAGCAGAGAAAAACAATGACATCATGAGGTTTGCAGGCAAATGGATGGATCTAGAAAAAATCATCGTAAGTGAGGTAATCCAGACTCAGAAAGACAAACATGGTATGTACTCACTCATAGGTGGATACTAGATGTAAAGCAAAAGATGACTAGACTGCTACTCACAACTCCAGGGAGGCTACCTAGTAAAGAGGACCCTAAGAAAGACACAGGAATTGCCCAATGACAGAGAAATGGATGAGATCTACATGAGCAAACTGGTCATGAGGGGAGGTAATGAAGGGCAAGAGTTGGGGAAAAGAGAGCTTAGGGGAGCGGGAGATCCCAGCTGGATCAAGAACAGAGAGGGAGAACAAGGAAAGAGATACCATGATAAATGAAGACCCCATGGGAATAGGAAGAAGCAAAGTGCTAGAGAGATCTCCAAAAATACACAAAGATACCTCCACAATAGACTACTGGCAATGGTCGAGAGAAAGTCCGAACTGACCTACTCTGGTGATCAGATGGCCGAACACCCTAACTGTCGTGATAAAACTCTCATCCAATGACTGATGGAATTGGATGCAGAGATCCATGGCCAGGCCCCAGGTGGAGCTCCAGGAGCCCAATCAGTGAGAGAGAGGAGGGATTGTATGAGCGAGCGAGAATTGTTGAGACCATGATTGGAAAAAGCACAGGAACAAATAGCTAAACTAGTGGAAACACATGAACTATGAACCAATAGCTGAGGAGGCCCCGTGGAACTGGATCAGGCCCCCTGGATAAGTGAGACAGTCGATTAGCTTGAACTGTTTGGGAGGCCCCCAGGCAGTGGGACTGGGACCCATCCTTAGTTCATGAGCTGGCTTTTTGGAGCCTGGGGCCTATGCTGGGACACTTTGCTCAGCCTGGGTGAAGGGAGGAGAGGACTGGACCTACCTTGACTGAATCTACCAGGCTGAGCTGAATCCTCAGGGGAGTCCTTGCCCTGGAGAAGGTGGGAATGGGGGGTGGATTGTGGGGAGGGAGGGGGAGCAAGGTGGGAGGAGGGAGGACAGGGGAATCCGTGGCTGATATATAAAATTAAATTAATTATAAAATTAAAAAATAAAATATAAGATGAAACAAAAACAAAAAATCGGAATTAAAAAAAAAAAAAGAAGGAAAAGTGACCAAGAAAAGGTACAAGAAACAAATATCGATGCTGAGACCCATTAATTTATACTTTTAGGAATTTCATAAAACACAAAACCAGAAACTATTATCTGTATGCAAAGGACCTGTGTGGAGGGAGATGAGATTAAATAAAAGAAAAAGAAGAAGCCCTGACATGACATTATGGAACAAGGAACATTCAAAAATTACATTGAGTTTGTTTTCTAGTGGCCATCTACTGCTGAGATATTGGTCTACCTTTAAAAGTAGTTTGTTTCCCCCATGAGACTCCCTTGGAGGAAATGAAATTTTCATTTGGAGCTGTTATCACATGGAGATAGGTTTTGTTTTAGGAATGGGAGCATGTGTCCAGTTCTCCCTTTCAGTTCTGGGACCCTATTTAGTGCAAGGCCCTGAAGGCCATGTGCAGACTGCCTCAGCCTATATGAGTTTATATGTGCATTTGCCCTGCTCTGTTTAGGTCTTGTTTCCTTTGTGTCCTCAGTCCCCTCTAGCTCTTACATTCTTTGCACCCCCTTCTCTTCCACGGGGTTCCCTAAGCTCTGAGAGGAATGATTTGATGGGGACATGCCATTTAGGGCTGAGTATCTGAGGTCTCTTACGCTCTGCATATTTTCTGGCTGTGTGGGTCTGTCCCTGTATTTGTTCCCTTCTACTGCAGGAAGAAGTGTTTCTGATGATGGCAGAGCAAGGCACTGATTTGTGAGTATAGCAGACTGTCATTTGGAGTCTTTTTATTACTACATTCCTTTAGCAGAACAGTAGTATTTGGTTTTCCTCTAAGTCACTGGGCTATCTGGTCTTAGGTTCTTGGCCACCTGATTAGTGTATGGGATGGGTTCCTTCTCATGGGCTGGGCCTTAAATCCAATCAGATATTAGTTCATTATTCCCACTACTTTGGTGCCACTATGCACTAGCAAGCACATCTTGCAGGTAGGTCATCATAGATCGAAGACTTTTTGAGTAGGTTGGTACTACCTTTTTCCTTTGGTAACATGTACAGTACCTTCAAGTAGTATCAACACTAGTCAATAGCGGTGAAGGCTTTAGGAAGGCACCAGCTTGACTCCTCTGTATTCAATGAGTTCTGTAGGTGTTGTCTTCGGCAATAGTGCCTCACTGTCAGTTGGTGGAGAATAACCTATAGCTTTGCCAACAGCCTGGTTTCTTTTTGGGGTTCCCATGGCACCCCTTTAGCCAACAACTCAGGGAAATGTAACCCATTTCCAATACTGGAAGCTTCATTTGGTGAAAAGAGATGTTTACTTAGGACTCTATCTCCCGTTATTTGGCCATTTTGTTTAGATTGCCCTCATATATGTATAGATTTTAGGAAGCTTCTACTGTATTGGGTTTCCATACTTCCACTCAATTGCCCTCAATTTTTTCTTATTCCCTGTATTTCCTCCCTCATCCCCCTCTTCCCTTGCCCTCCCCACTTGATCCTCTCATTTCAACCCACCCTGCCACACACATATACACTGTCCATCCATAACTATCTATTCTGTTTCCTACAGAGATCTGTCCGTCCCCCAGTCCCTTATTTTTAACCTAACCTTTGGTTCAACTGATTATGACTTAGTTATCATTGATTTAACAGCTAATATCCACATGCATTATAAGCAAATATTTACCTTATTTGTCTTTCTGGGTCTGGGTCACATCACTCAGGATGTTTTTTTGTTTTTTGTTTTTTGTTTTTGTTTCTGGTCTGATCAATTTACCTGCAAATTTTATGATTTTAATTTTTAAGGACTGATATTCCATTGTATAAATGTACCAGATTTTTCTCTATCCTTTCATCTGTCGAGGAACATCTAGGTTGTTCCCATTTTCTGGCTATTATGAATAGAGCAGAAATGAACAGGGTTGGCCAAGTGTCTCTGTGATAACATGAAGCATCCTTTGAGTATATGCCTAAGAGTATATAGCTGGATCTTGAGGTAGATCAATTTTGATTTTCCTGAGGAACCACCTCACTGATTTCCATAGTGACTGTACAACTTTCCACTCCCACCAACAGTGGATAAGTGTTTCTCTTACTCCACATTCTTACCAGCATGAGCTGTCATTCATTTTATTGATCTTCATCCTCTATTAGATGTATAATTTGTAAAAAAAAAAAAAAAATCTTTTCTGCATTCTGTAGTCTACTGCTTTGTCTGAATGATGGTGTCCTTTGCCATGCAGAAGCTTCTCAGTTTTGTGAGGCCCCATTTATTAATTGTTGATCTGAGTGCCTGTGCTAATGGTGTTCTGTTCAGAATGTCCTTTCCTGTACAAGTGAGTTCAAGACTTTTCCCACTTTCTCTTCTACCATGTTCATGTATCTGGTTTTATATTGATGTTTTTGATCCATTTGGATTTGAATTTTCTGCAGAGTGTAAATATGAATGGATTTGCATTCTTCTACAAGCAGCCATCCAGTTTGACCAGCATCATTTATTGAATATGCTGTCATTTTTTCAAGGGTGCATTTCTGGCTTCCTTATCAAAAATAAGTTGTCCATAGGTTTGTGGTTTCATGTCTGGGTATTCAACTCAGTTCCTTTGGTCAATATGTCTGTTATTGTGCCAATACCATGCTGTTTTTATCACTATAGCTCTGTAGTATAATTTGAGGTCAGGGATGGTAAATACATCCAACAGTTCTTTTATTATTTAGGATTTTTTTTTCTACCCTGGGTTTATTCTAACACAAACCGTAGTCTACAAGTGGGACCCAAGTATTATTTAAGCTTTCTTTTAAGAAATTCCTGTAAAACTAATATTGAAAAGTGCAAAACTTTCCTTACTTCAACTTGACAAAAAATATTTATTCATTAATGGGCAAAATATAAACATAATTGAGATTCTAGCAAGTGTAGTTTGAACTCTAGTTCTTTTACTTCTAGTTCATGAGCCTATGAACATTTTTCCTCATTTTGAATCCATCATAGAAAAAGGTATTTGGATTTATAATTAAGGTATGAATATTTAGGTACTAGGGTGATGTTGTCAGGTAATAAGATTTTGTGATTAACATATAGTTCTCAACTTCTTTAAACTGGAAAATATTTTGTAATGTTGAAAAGACGTTTAGATATGCCATTTCTTGTGTAAGACACTTTCTTAGGTTTGGTGCTTGTGTCCTCATTTTCTGTAATCGAGAGAATGAATATCCCAAGTTGAATTGTATTTTGATCAAGTGTTAAACTTTCCAGGTATTGTCCTTAAAAAAGTCTTTATTCAATGTGGAAAGAATCTAGTTTCCATGCTGTCTGTGAGATGATTACTTAGATTTTTGAGCAAGCAAGTAAGTTCTTCTGTGTGTGTGTTTTCTTTTAGGAAACTCTGATAGACTGGTGTGATGAGAAGGAACTTAATTTGATACTAACAACTGGAGGAACAGGGTTTGCACCGCGAGATGTCACTCCAGAGGTGAGATAGAGTGCCTTTCTCAAATTCAAGGAATATACTAGTTATGTTATTTTTTTACCATTTCCTATTTTCAATTTTTTTCTATGACTTTTATAGGCAAAACTATTACTCATGGATATGACAATACAAATATTTGATTGTAGAATTTTTTTTAAAGTATTTCTTGACTTTATTTGAATTTACCCTTGAAATTGTTGAATATAAAGAACTTTGAACTGTTCTAGAAATTAGTCCTTCATTTGCTTGGTGGCAACTACACTTCAGAAGGTTATAGCAAATTTTTACCATTGCAATTCAAAATTGGATCTGGTTTCTCTTTTTTTGAAATACCTTTGTCATTTATCTCAAAGTGCAGTAAATAATTACTATATATTTATACTAAATTTACACTAAATTGATGAAAAGGCATGATATTTTCCATATTTTAAATGTGAACATTTAAATGCAGAATTTAATAATCTAAGCAGCATAACAAATGCCAATGGTTTATGGCATAGGAGCATCTTCAACACAGGCAGAAAAATTAGGGAAAGAATAAAACATGAATACAGGGAAAGGGTCTTTAATTTCTTTTTTAAAAAGCCACAAATTATTACTGTAGAGTAGTGGAAACTTATATTACCATTATGACTTGGTTCCCTTTACCCTTCAAATAAATGTTTCTGGCTCCATTTCAACTTAATATTAACTATGTTCTTCTGTTTCCAAACCAGTATACTATTGTATCTACTACCTATTATTAGCAGGGTTTTTTCTTCTCTTCATTTATTAAATAATTGTTGTCTTTATTCATTTTTAAATTTGGTCAGCATTAGAGTACACAGGAATGCGTGCATACATACAGATTGCTGGACCCTCCCCTACAGTTTGTACTTGAGTAATACTGCACTAGATCTCCACAGTTTGTTTTTCCAACAAGTCCTTATGTGGCATAAATGTTTTTAATCCATAGACTATACTTCTAAATTCTGAGAACTACTGTATGCTTTTTGAATATAAAATTTTCTAAAACAATCCTAAAATTTTTATTGACTATTCTCCTATTTTAGTATCCTTTTTTCTATTATTATAATTGGGATTATAAATAAAATTTATTTTCATTTAAAATATTCTGAAGAGTTGTTTTATGATAGTGTTAACTTCAGCTGTGTAAGTCAAATGATCATCCTCATGAATCTATTTAGTTTCTCTGTCCTAACTTGACACCTAACATGAGGTAGTCATTTGACCATTTTTATAATATGAGATTAACTGGAAAAAATACAATTGGCAGCGAAACTGTCTTTGCAAAGTTGTGGTTATATTTTATGTTCTTTTATCTGTAAGGAAACTACCTATATGAAGGTATTAATTTTAATAATTTGGCTATTATTTAAGTGACGTTAAGTTTGTATAATGAGCCTATAGTTTTAGTATGATGATTTGTTATGTTCACATTTCTATTTATTTTTACATCAGAAAAAACAAAAATATTACCATAAAATTCATTCATAAGCAAATAATGGTGTTATTTTTAATTGTAAGGAAATAGTTTATATTTCCTTTTAATTATAAGGAAGTAGTATCTTGTTTCCTGTAATCTCATTATCCATTAATTCTTTCTCTTCCACTGACCAACAAGGTAACCAACCATAGGTGGGCTATATTCATGTACATTAATGATACATGTGGGGAAGTTTTTTCTCACACTAATTAGTTCTTCAATTTGTTATACACCAGTTGCCTTTCATCTCAATTAAATTTGATTTTGACTTGGAGTTGTTTATTGTCCCAAGTTTAAAGCTCCATACCACAAGACTGTCTTCACAGCTGATGTCATCAATAAATCTTGAAGATTATGTATACTTTGTCTTATTTTTTCTAAAAAGTCTGTGGATTCACACACTCTTTTTCTGCCAAAAGATTGTTAGCTAGAATGGCACACAAACTTACTTGTTAAAGATATACAACTCAGAAGCAGCTTTATTGAAGAGAGGCATAATTCAGTATATAGGAGAGACTACTAACAGAAACCCCACGCTTTGTTCAGATGCAATACAATTAAAACACCCAAATGCATTCATCAAGTTTTGGGCAATGGCCCTTGTAGCACTCAAACTCCACCCCATCAATGAGTGAGACTGAAAGTTTCAACATTCTAGTAACTCAGTGTTTTTGACGACCAGCACTATCTGGAGGTCATGGAGATCCTTTTTGTGAGTTAGAGACTTTTAATGGATAGCAAAAGGTACTCAGTCCTATTATTCAGGGGATATCAGGAGTTTGGGGAATTCTACATCTAGAACCAGGGATTAGTCATTTAACCACTCTCTTATTTAATTTTCTTAAAATGAGGGAAATGGAATTATCCATTTTCTGTGAACATTAATTTTTAAAGATTGTTTTTATTATTTATTAGTATAGATATGTGGGGCTATATATTTATATATGTGTGTGTGCATATATATATATATATACTTAGATGCATATATACACATATGAATACACACACACACACACACACACACACACACACACACACACACACACACACACACGTGCAGGTGCTCACAGAATTCAGAAGAGGGTGTCGATCTCCTGAATCTGGAATTACAGGTGATTGTGAGATACATGATGTGGGTGTTGGGACCAACCACTAAGACATCTCTCCATTCCCAGTTTTCATTGAATTTTTAAAAAAATTAACCTAAGAGGTGACAGTTTCATTATGGAATTTTTGTAATACTTTGTTTTGGTTTATTCTCATTTACTTTGCCCCCCATCTCTTGTCTGCCCCCACCCTTCTGCCTCTATTATCCCCTTTGCAGTTCGTGTCCCATGCATTCAGTTGTTGTCTGTCATCCTGTTCATCCCTTTTCCTTGACATCTCTCCCCCGTGATACTCTTTTCTGGGTGGATGAACTATATTCATACTCACTTTCATATATTTATACATATTTAAAACTTAAGCTGTGAGCATTGGTGAAATCCACTCCTAACGTTTTGTATGAGTTTGCTTAAAATGGTTAAAAGAACTTTTTTATTTGCTATGTAAATACCAAGTTGTTGGGGAGGGTTTTGTAAAAGTAACTATCAAATAAACAAATATGATCTTAATAACTAATTCAGAATCTAGCCATGAAATCTTTAAAATCTTGAGAAATTGTGTGATTTTTATCTACTAAGCATCATATTTGATCCTTTCTCATCTTCTGAAATGTATGGTATTCTAATTTTTTGTATTTTATTTTTATTTTCTCTTTTTAATACTATTTATTGATAAGACTCTCACTATGACTTTGTCAGAAATTGAACCGCATTTTATTCTTAAATATTATTTAATTACTTAAAAAACACAGAGATAGCCAGGCTTGGGTGGCACATGCCTTTTATCCTAGCACGGGGGGTAAGGGGGTGGGCAGAGCCTAGCAGATCTCTGTGAGTTCGAGGCCAGCCTGGTCTACAAAGCGAGATCCAGGACAGGCACCAAAGCTACACAGAGAAACCCTGTCTCGAAAAGCCAAAAAACCAAAAACAAACAAAAAAAAAAACAACACAGAGATGTGTTTGTAATCTTTATGTATGTTGTAACTACCAAGATAAAGCATTAAGCTTACAGTCTACATATGTGTGTACACAGCATCTTTTTTTCAAGCAGTGATTTATTTGATTACTAATACTTGACCTTTACTGTTTATATCACTTTATATTTTACATATATATGATATACATTTATATATCAGATATAAGGGTATATCTGATATGCATATCTGTGAGAAAACTGTTAAAAGGTTTTAATAAATAAACTTTTTAAAAAAGATTGGGGCCTCCAAAACAATTTTTAATTTCCTTTCTACCCTTAAGTAGATACAATTCCTATACTATTTAAACTATAGCAACATGTACAATAGAAATTAAAATTTTAATTTTGTCCTTAAAGTATATAACTTTTTGTTTATATATTGAATGTCTCGTATACTTGTACCCAACAGAGTAGAGAGTGTTGCTAGGCACATTTATCTATATACAATTGCAAGTAACAAATTTTTAAAATAGTTTTAGAGCTTAACTGATCCAATTACTCATTTGACAATTACAAAATAATGCACAGTTCCTCTCTTATGAAACTACTATTTTATAGTTATTAATTATCAGTTAGTTTGATAAACAAACCTAAAGAACAATTATGGATCAGATGTTTGTGCTATTAGGGAAAACACATATAGAATGAAAATGATAAACACAATAAAGGAAATAAAGCAAACCAAACTTATTGCCAATTGGATTGAATTGTAAATGAAATCAATTTTAATAAGCTTAGATTTCTTTCTAATTCTGTTCAAAAAGGAGAATGGAAATAGAAAAGTCCATAAAGTTGTTTCATGTTACAGCCTTAAGACTATCCGCATTTATTTTCCCTAAACTGTGGATTTGTTTCTACTTTTTTTTTTTAGCCTTGTATCATAGAATATGGTTCATTTGATAGTTACATACCTCCTGCGTTCATCTTAAATGTAGGATGCTATCAAAACCTATATAATCACAGTCTTTAACTTTCTAGCTGTATTTTAATATAAAATTTTTATATTTTCAAATGTATTGCATTTCTTTGACTTGATGGTTGGATAATTAATTTGTACTATAAAATGCTAAGAATTATAAAATTTTATGAACACAAGAAATCATTGCTATCTGTTAGCTCTTTATGTTCACTTATTGCTTAATCAATTTTGTCCAAAAAGAATCTTACGTTATTCTTAGAAATTAAAAGTTTAATTATAGATTTTTTTTATTTCTAGGCCAGATTAAAAGGTTAAGGAGCATATAGAGTATCTATATAATTATTAAAGTATTTGATAATATTTTACTAAGTTAGAAAATATTAAGCTGCTTACTATTCACAAAGTAAAAATCATCTTTCAGAACTTTTTGAGGCTAGGCTACAATAGAATTAAGATTTATACCCTGATTTATTACTTTGATCATAATTATCTATGTTACACCTATGTTTTAGATACTTC